TTCACAACGATGCTTTGTCTTTACATCCCTATATCACTACTTTTCCGAATCATCGACGATGCTGTGAAATTTGAGCCAACCAAGAGCCCCCAAAAATTTAGTTTCTGGAACTGGTGATGCATCATCCAATTATACCATGACAAGGAGTCCCCCGTAAATATCAAATATTTATAATTTCAGGTGATTATAGCGACTATATTCTCGGTTATAGTTGATCTCAAAAAAAATTATGATGTTAAAATTGTCGATTACATTCCGCAAGGGTAATTTTTTCTCTAAAAAATGTTTTTTTCCTAGAATTTAGTCTAAGGTTTTCCGGAATGCTCGTGAAAAATATATCATTTTACTGATTTACAGGATGCCTATGCCGTCGTTGCCGCATTTTGATTTAATACCATATCTGCTGAATGATGCATTCGCAATCGCTATCGTATCATATATGTTCGTCATATCAATGGCTAAATTATTCGCCAAAAAAAGACGCTACAAAATTGATCCCACTCAGGTGCTGATTGCATGCATTCCAGTTTTACTCCTTTTATAAATGAGACAAGAGATTTCTTATTTTTAAAATCGATCCTCTTTTTACCTTTTAAAATTATAATCCATTTTTTTATAAAAATTTATTTCATTTCATTCATTTATTTTATCAATACTACAACCTTCATACTGAAGAGCCCAGCTGTGATTCTGAATAGGAATCTGTTTGACTGAATAGATCGAAACGTTTTTGCTCTTCTGATTTTTTAAGATAAATTTATGTTTTTATGCATATCGTAATTAATATCTTTTTTGCTGCACGTTTGATTAATATGATACCAGCAATATCCAGGTAGTTCGGATAACCGAACAACCCACATCAGGAATGTTACTGGGATGCTCCCACAAGTGGAAGGCAGCTATGCCGGTTTGAATAACATAGAAATCTTGCCTATTGCTATAGGATATCCAGAAATCTTTCAGAAGTCAATGCACTTTAAGCAAATTTTGCCCGAAAAACGTTTTTGGAGAGCATGTTGGACGTAATCCTTTCTTAAATCTCTGTGAAACCTTTTTTAGTGTTTCATTAGTATTTCTACTTGTACACTCATCTCTTCCGAAATACAATTTTTTCACTTAGCGCTTAATATCCTGAAGATAAAATCGTGGGTGGTGGAGCAACGCACTGATAGTAAAGTACTGATAATACT